CTCATCAACAGTGAGAAGGTGCAACAAGAGAGAGTGCGAGCCTTGTTCACCAGACTATCTATTGACAAGCCATATGCCAGAGAACTTCTCAGGAGGATTCATGCCGATGAGCCTGAGACAAAACAAGCTAAGAGGCATATGCTTCTTTGGTTGGATGATCTGCATTTAGGTGCTATCGCCCGTTTTGTCAGCTATGAGAATCATCCTGAACGTGAGTACAATCGTTCACGATTGAGGTCACGTCAGGTGATGTCAGAAGGCCATTATCCACAAGGATGGTCTTTGATTACACCTAAAGAGATTGATGATCGTGATCCTTGGAGTATCTTAGGCTATAGTGCTCCAAAGTTGATTGTCAATCGAGATGGTGTTACCTCAAGGTCCTTGTTTATGGTTCATCCATTAGTTTTGAGCAAGGATCAGGCAAAACTGGCGAAGGCTGATGAGGAAGTGATTCGTTTTGACCACCTTTGGAAGGACATCACTTCGAAGAGCTCAACAGCCAGGACTTCTGGAGAACCTCAACAAGATGAAGAAGATGACTCTGCTCATGTTGCTGAGCGTGAGATGACATGGTTCATTCAGAATGTCAGCAACCTGGTTCTCAACCCATGGATGGTATGTGACATTGGCATGGTATCACTCCATGATCGCATAGGAACACGTGTACTCCAGAGCACTGGAGAAGACGTGATTCTAGTGAGGGATTGGGACAGGTTGACAAGACACCAGAGAGAATATTTTTGTAGAAGATACAAGTTGTTACGTCCAAGTGTTTATGGAACAGAGGAAGACCCCAAGACGTATGCACCGAGTTTTGAACCCGGAATTTCTCAGTGGATGGAGTTGGCACAAACTGGATACCAACAGTTTTTCTTCATCCGTGCTTGGGAGAATGGACGCCGTTGGGCTGAAATTCTGACAGACCATGGCATTGCTTCTGCAGAACTTTCAAATTTCTTGGATATGTGCAGGGATCCCAAATTGCTGGGTTGGAACTTTGGTATTCCAGAACCTCAGTGGGATAGTTTTGGCAACTCAGTGGAGGAAGCATTCAACAATCCTTTATTTGCCAAACTGCACTATCGTTTCAAGCAGGAGGAAGAGATTGGCCGTGTCATGGACCTTTTGTCTGAACTTGTTTGTGACTTTTTCATCAAGGTGCTTCCCAAGTGGGTTCTTAACCATTCGATCTTGTGGGAAGACTTTATGATCTTGGATCCACACACAAAGCTCCCTCTTTACAAGACTTCAGAGGCCGCCTTACAAGCAGAAGTGAATCCAGAGAAGTATCATACACATTTTAATATGAACTTCAAGAAATTCCGTTTTTCTGCAAGAATTGTGTGGTATTTGATTGACCGTGACAGGAATCATTTAGAGAGTTTTCTTCACAACTCCAACAGTAGATTTGTGCAACATGCATGCTATCAACTTCGTGAGTATGTTCAAGCGCGTGTTGCAGTTTCTTCCCTTGTATGAGATGATCAAGAAGGAAGAGTTTGAACGCCAATACAATTCCAAGTTTTTGGAGGCGATTTCTTGCTCTCGTGTTGTAGTTGAGCCTGTAAGTTCAGGGACGTATGAGCCATCATCGAAGCTGAACTTAAAGGTACTACAAGACATCCTGAAGGGTATCTTCAAGATCCAGAAGGATGAGGAGCTTGCCAAAGAACGTGATGAAGAAGAAGAACAGGCAGCTCAAAACATCTCATACCTGTTGGCAGATGATATGGAGCTTGATTTTGATGATGATAATGTTCCAGTATGGCGCTCCATTGTCGACAAGTATAGAGGAGGTGATCAGGTGCTACAGGGAGAAGCTGTGAAGATTACTCACCTGTTCAGGAATCAAAAGGACAATGAGAAGGCGACAGAAGCTTTCAGTTCAGAGAGGACAGATTTTTATGAGACCTCAGGACCTCTTCCAAGAACCATGGGAGAAAATCTTGTAGAGGACTTGCTCACCAAGGATGTTGCAGAACAAGCTTTTGATGCAGGTGAAGAAGTTCCTCCTTATACAAGAGTCTCCACTATCGCTGGTGGAATCTATACTGGAAGTAGGACACTTCTAGAAGATGAGGATATGGAAGAGGAAGTTCCTGAAGAAGATCCTGCAGTTGAACCTGAAAGGGAAGAAGAAATATTTGATGAGAATGCAGGTGTTTTCCTTCAGAGGAACCAAAGATGGAAGTGGACCAGGAGGAAGCCAAGGAGGAGTCAACACCACACTTTCTGTCAAGAGAGATAGGTGAGGACTCGGCTGCATCGCACTTACCATCAGGTGAGATGGATGCTAACCTTGATGATACTCCACGTCTGCCGAAATCTAAGAAAAGCCGCCTGAATAAAATACCTGATCCTCATTTTCATGAAGAAGTTCAGGATGATGCAACCATGGAAGAGAAGAAAGAGGCGGTGGAAAAAATAAAAGAGGTCAGAGAGAATGATGGAGAGAAGAAATTGGAGGCTGAAATCCAGGAATCTTTTCCATCTGAAGTAGTTGTTGAAAAGGATACAACAAAAGTTGACAATACCTATGAGTTGCATACTTCACCTTTGAAGTTGCTTGGAGAGCTTACAGGAGATCCAGGTATTGGCCTTTATCAACAATGCTTCAGGGAAACTCACGCAAGATTGCTGAACCATGTTTGTTTCAGAAAAGGTGCGATTTCCCATCCTCATTATCAGTCGAGGATCAACGAGAATGATTTTGTTCGATCCATTCGTAATATCTGTCCAGTACCTCCACCTGATTGTTATGAACACGAACCAGAGCATGATTTGAAGAGATTCTTTATCAATGATGATCGCATCATTCATTTGGATGGCAAGTATCAGGTCGATCCAAAGGCCCTTGAAAGGGCAGAACATGCTCGAGAAGAATTGGAGGATACGAAGAAGGAACTTAAGAAGGAACTGGAATCATATGGTCCCAAGGGACCCAGTTGGGACTTTGTCACCTTCTATGAAGAGCTGTGCAGAAGGTTCCTCAAGGGAAGAATAGAAGAACCATATGGAACTAACTTATTGGCCAGCTCAGAGTCCTTGACATTTTTATCCTGGAACTATGGCAACATGGTTCGTGGTCAGAAGTACACCACACCAAGGTTTCTCCAAGGACTTGATAGTGCAATGAGGCCACGCAAACAGAGCGCCATGTCACTTCAGAATGAGCAATTTGAGAACAACCTTTTCTTCAACATGCTCTTCTTTTTACGTGCACATGTCGTGATTCTCCAGGAAGCTCATCTTCTTGTTCCTGCCAAGGATTTTCTTGAGCAAAAGAATTGGACAGTTTGTTTCAATGATTGGGAGAATCTTGCAGTGATGGCTAGATTGGCACCAGGTGGATATGTCAAGATCATTGCTGGACATGATCAAGAACTTGGCCACTGTGAACAGCGTGATGTAACTTGGGCTATCTACGAGATTTGTTTTGGAGAAACAAGGCCTCGTCAAGATTTCAAGGATGCAGACTTTGAATTTGATGACTATGGTACTGAGGACAAGCGTGTTCCACTTACTCGAGCGAACATGCATACCATCAGAGTCTGTAATTATCATGTTGATACACACCGTGCTGTGGATGCCCACCTACTGACAGGAGAACAGACAGCATTGATGCTTTACGAGTGTTTTGTCTATGAGGTGGACATCATTTCTGGTGATGCAAATAGTTTGGCCTACAGAATGTCTGGGTACAAAAGGCAGCCAATGGCTAACTACTATTACAGCACCATGCAGCATTGGATCCGCAGGTTTTCAGACGCTCGTGTAAAAGCAGATCCTGGTATCAAAGCACCTATTCCCAGAACATTTTACAGTTCAACTTCACAGGTCCTCAAGAAGTGTGAAGTTTACTTTGATAAACTCTGGGAAGAATATTCTACTGTTGAAAAAGACGAATAACAAGGGTCACAGCTTGGCGATACATGTTTGTCTACCATTGTTGAATGGGGTCATTCAATGAGTGAAGAGGAATATGAAAATTCCACAGTGAGCACGAAGGAGTTCATCTGTAATTTTTCAGAGAATTTTGCTATGATTGACACGGAGGTTATGTGCTCAAGACCCTCTGACGAGGACAGTCATGGTCCAATGTTTATTTCACTCAGACCAGCTTCCT